GCCTCCCGGGTTCAAGCAGTTCTCCTGCCTCAGCCTCCCAATAGCTGGGATTACAGACATGCACCACCACGCCTGGCTACTTTTTATATTTTTAGTAGAGATGGGGTTTCACCATGTTGGCCAGGCTGGTCTCGAACTCCTGACCTCAAGTGATCCACCCACCTTGGCCTTCCAAAGTACTGGGATTACAGGCATGAGCCACCGCACCTGGCCTACTCTGTCACTTTTATACTCACACTGGCTCACACCACACATCCCCCCTCCACCACAGACACACACAAGCACCTCATGCACACACATTTCCCCTGTCCCTTTAGTCGCACTCTCAGTGAGTTAGAGAAGCTCCCCATGTCCTTGGGTGAATGGGGTCCCTGTGAGATGCCAAGGAGCAGTCTGCAGCTCTTTTCTATTTTTTTGGGGTGTGGATTGGTGAGAAAGCAGCTGGGAGCCAGGCAAGGAACAGGGCCCTGTCCACAGTGAACCAAACCTAGGGGTAACTTCATGTTCAGAGGCACAGAAAGAAGCTCCTGTGGCTTGGTCCTAGTGGTGCAGACTTTGGTGGTGCTGGAGGTGGTGCGGGAGGGGAGAACCTACCCTGGCTGATTTTCTGCAGAACACTCTAGAGGCCAGTGCAAGGAGGCGCAGAGGGGCCCAGGGCTCCCCTCAGCTGTAGGGCTGGGAAGGTGGTGGAAGGGTGGGAGGGATCTAGCCAGTCTTCCTGAGGATGCTGGGGGTGGGGGTGGGACAGGTAAAACAGGATCTGAAGGTGCACACTGTGGTCTAGACGTCCTGGAACACTGCCCTGACTCCTCCCACCAACAGACCCCCAGCGAAGTCAGGGAGGTGGTGAACTCATGAACCAATCTTGTTTCACCCAGACAGAAGGAGCAGCCTCAGTTCGGTGCAGTGCAGGGTCTTGCTCCACCTTTCTGGGAATCCTCATCAGGGTTAAACATCGCCCAGTCTGAATCCTTTGTAGGGGAAAAAACTGAGACACGGAGAGGGATCAGGCCTTGCTCAGGCCACGTGGCAAGTCCGTGGCAGGTGGGTATATCAGAATCCAGGCCTGCTCCTGCCCTTGAAACCACCTGACTAGTTCCTGCTGACACTGCCCTCCCCCAACCACTCTCCTCCTCTCCCGCCACCTCCTCATTCAGCTGCTACCTTCGGGCTGTCTTCTCCCACAGGGCCCCTGTGCAGTATCCTGGTGGGACGCTTCGGCTGCCGAGTGACCACGATGCTGGGAGGTGTGCTGGCCAGCCTGGGCATGGTGGCCAGCTCCTTCTCTCGCAACCTCAGCCAGCTCTACTTCACAGCAGGATTCATCACAGGTGACTATCACTTCAGCTCCAGAATTTATAGGCAGCTGCTAGAAAGTGCCAGGCACAAGCGGACAGGGCAGGCAGGCCTCTTAATCTTCTGGAACTGCTGGCTGGGTGTGGTGGCTCACGCCTGTTATCCCAGCGCTTTGGGCGGCTGAGGCGGGCAGATCACCTGAGGTCAGGGGTTCGAGACCAGCCCAGCCAATGTGGTGAAACCCTGTCTCTACTGAAAAAAAAATACAAAAATTAGCCAGGCTTCATGGCAGGCCCTTGTAGTCCCAGCTACTCGAGGCTGAGGCAGGAGAATCACTTGAACCCAGGAAATGGAGGTTGCAGTGAGCTAAGATCGCACCACTATACTCCGGCCTGGGCAACAGAGCAAGACCCCATCTCAAAAACACAAAAAACAAAGTGCTGGGATTACAGGTGTGAGCCCACCACACCCAGCCCTTCCACAGCATTTTGTTCTAGGGGGACTAGAGGAATAGACTATACCCGGAAGTGGTTATGACGTCAAGAGAGTTTTTTTTTTTTTTTTTTAAATGGGAGAAATAACTAAGGAGAATGATCTAGGAAAGAAGAGAAAAAGGATGACTCAGGAGAGAGGGGACTTGCTAGAGGGGTGCCTCTGAGTGGAATGGATGCAGGGCAGAAGGGAGGGACAGGCACTGGGGGAATGGGCAAGCCATTGTCACCAGTGGGCAGGCATGTGGGCAGCTGAGCATGAGGATGGGGAGGAGGTGTTGGGTGCACAGAGGAAGAGACCCAGTAGTCACCTAGCAGGGCAGGCAGGGCACGATTGAGGGAGCTGTAGTGGCGTCACAGGCAGCCTGAGGGCCCGCCTGAGGCCATGATCACACACGATTGACAGCTTTCTCTCCGGCATGCTCAGGTGCGCAGGTGCAGACACTGAGTGGGTGGGAAGCTGGGAAGGCCCCTCTGGAGAGGTGGTGTCTGAACTGAGAGGAGAGTGGAAGAAGCAGATTCCAAGCAGAAGGAACAGCAGCTACAAATGACCTGAGGTCCCTAAGGGCAGCTTCATGTTCAGAGGCAGAGAAAGAAGCTCCTGTGGCTTGATCCTAGTGACAGGGAGCGGCCTGAGATGGCATCGGAAAGGTGGGCCGGAGCCAGACCACAGAGAGCCTTCCAGGGCATTGTGGAGACTGTGGACTTTTTTGTCAAATGTGATGCGAAGTCTTTGGAAGGTGTTAAGCCAAGAGAGACTTAATCCAATTTGGGGTTTGTTTGTTTTTGAGACAGAGTCTGATTCTGTTGCCCAGGCTGGAGTATAGTGGTACAATCTTAGCTCATTGCAACCTCCACTTCCCAGGTTCAA